GCACCAGGCCGTGTGGGTCTTGAGTCACCTCGCATAGACATGTTAACTATGCGAGGTCAAGCGGAAAGTGAATGGAACGGACCCAACAAGTGCTCCCTGTCCCTATGGTGGCCAACGGGTGGCCTCCATGTTTTCGATAGTCACACGGTGACTATCAGTTAAGGGGGGTGATGTAACGGGGCAGCCCGTTACATGGAATTGTCACTTTAAGGAAAGTGACAATAAAGAATATAAAGATGAATGTTCTTTAAAACAATATCGCCGAAGTGGTGATATTGAAGGGTCGACCAAATAGTCTGTTCATTGGTTGATATCTTGATGATATCAACCCACCAATCGCCGCAAGACGCGCGCAATGAGTGGTGACGAGACGTCCCCATACACTCAGTTATATTAGCATAATTAAGTTAAGTCAAACAAAGAGACAGTAGTTAAAAGACTTAATTATATTAATATAACAGTTCTGCTTTTACCTTACCTACGCTTCCTCGCTTGCCTTGTGTACGTCTGTCGGGGCACCGATACCCTTGCGTTAAGTTCACGCAAGGGTGTGCCCCGTTACATACTACCTATCTACGCATAACGGTACATCCGTATGTAGAAATGTGGTAACGTTTCTTGGGCAAATATAACGCGACAACCGAACTCTTCGAAAAGCCGCGCCCTTTTTTATCACGATTACACAGACGATGATAATCGTGAAATCATACGATGTTGCTTTCAAAATAAAGTACGTACCTCTTCAACGATCAAATTTCGAAAAGCGTCGATATAAATTGCCGTGATGGACATGATCATGAACAAAGGAGCACCAATAAAATTTCGTGCGTCTTACAATTACCCTACTACGAAGTGTACCGGATACAAGTCCTGACAATTGCTGTGATCGAATGAGGCTGCAATCGAGATTGGCTTACAAACCAGTCTTTACCTCTATAAACGTTTCTAACCATGCGCGTTTCTAAGTGCAAAATAATGTCGGCTAGGACAAGAAAAGTTTTCGCCATCCATGAGAAGCTTTTTGTTTGATGCTTCGACGCCGAAAAATGGTGCGTCATTTAAACTCAACCATGATCTGCATTTCCGATTTGAATAATCAACATAAGACAAATAGTCTCTTGTGTGACATCTGTGTTTTATAACTAGTCGATGGGTTGTGATATTCATCGGGATATGATAGATGCAAAACTGACGAATATACTATTGTTATGGAACAGATTTGATCATCAGTAAATCAGACAAACAAAGTTTTGGATAGCGTTTAGGTCCTTCAAACGTGGTCGAATCAATTTGACAATAGCATGCTCTAACTCAGCGTATTCACAGCGGGACCAGTCGCACTAATGAACGTATCGGTTTGCACGAGATCGAATCAACGAGTAATTGAGTCCGCCATATGTATAATGTTCTTTAAGTGGATACTACACCAATATCTTTTGACAGCGATAATTATGAAAATCATCATGGTATATGCTGCTAGAGGTGTGGAACGTGAACGGGCGTGTAAAGAGACATACAATTTGATGCACAGTGAACAGTCTGCCCCATTATTTACACCTACTTTTAGTATCTAAGCGCTCCTTCCTTCCTATATCTGCCGCGATCGGAAAACAGACGACGCGCTCTGCAACGTCCGATTCGTATTACAGCAAATAGCCGAATTGCAACATTATTCTCACTACAGGTCTCATATAACTGTCTGGTTCCGCAATCGCTGAAAAAGAAGACCGTATCAGAATTTTGCTTCCTCCAATCGGGAGCTGACACTCAACGTTACTGCTTCATCCATTTTTGTATGTACGAAACATGTGCGTTCATCTATACGCAGTCGCTTGAAGGCTCGTGCAAATAAGATTTCAAGCCATCTGATATTGAATCGTTTTTTAGCTTTTACTTACAAGTATTAGTCATTGATCTGAATATTTGTAGAATAGAGCGTATATCGTGTTTCATCACGTTAGTCATAGGAATAGGCACCTCATTTGCTGCAGAGATACATGCTTTGAGCTGTCATGCAGCTTATAATACCGCATTTAAGCAATACAATGTCGTGCAAGTAGTCCATCCACGTCCACGTCTGACCTTCCATCCAAGCCGCACACGATTCCACTTTTGCAGTGTGTTTTGTGGCTATGGGGAAACATGCTGTCAATGTAACACCGTAAAGGAATTTTAAGCTGTCCAGAAAATACGAGCGAACCTGCTATTGACTCGTCGATCGATCGAAAAGAACAATGTAACATAAATCATTATATTACACATCGGGTGGATCCTAGGGGGAATTGCTAAAAACAATCGGTATTGTACTTGTGTAAGGTGGGTAAAAGTAAAAGTGAAATTTATATAGTGTTGATCTCTACGTCAACACGACATTGGCACGCATGTTGACCATTGGCAATGGAGTTTAACCTGGTCAAGGTACACATAGCGTACATCCAGTCCATCTGTCGCCGTATGCTGACCACACATGTCGACTGTATATCCCGTCCCACCCGCCTTGACATCCCGATTTTCCCGCGCACCGTCTGTCTCTCATTGTCGTACCTGTCACTTGCACCGCCGAAATCATTACCTTTTCGCAGGATTTGGATTGGCATCACTTAGTTGGAGCGGTCGGTGTTCATCCAAGGCACCAGACGATAACCCTAGCTTATGCATTTCAAATTATTACGATAATATCATTGTTTTATTGTGCAATCTCACATCACAAAGAGGTCCTACAACATGTTTCTTCACCAAGCGAACTATACATTTGCTTCATACTGAAGTCCTCCAATTCCGCTGCGAAGATCTCTTGATCAAGCGACTCGATTTGTGCGTAGCCATTTGGTCTTGCCGGGTCCATCCGAATCATGTTTGACCAACACGGCGGTCAGCGTGTGTTCATCGATCAGGTTTGCAGCGATAATGCGCCCAAGATGTCGTGTATGTTGGGCATAGGCTTCAGCATCGCGCTTACAATGTTGAACGGCTAGGCGATATGCTCGAGTTCCGATTTCGGTACGTGGCGTCCTAATATAAACATATTTGAGCCTGACCTGAAACCATTGATGGACCCAAATGCGCATAATTCGCAAAGCGCAAGCCAAAGTGGATAGATAGTCCATCGCACCTCCTTTCAGACCTGATACAAAAGGCTTAGTCTCATGTCTACGCTTTCTATGCACCGGACTTTGATGACGTCGTCCAATCTGGCAAACCATCGAAGCAGGAAGTTGCCTCAAACTCTTTTGTACTTGCGAACGTCAATCTCGAAACCTTCAGGCGCTGCGGACGCACCTAGCGAGTTGAAGAGCGTATCGACTGCTGTCTCGACAGCCAATGCATGGGATAATCTTTCTGCCTCAACAAGCCAGATTGTTAAGCACTTTGAACCTGTACTGAGGCGTTATTTTTTATTCCGCACATCGTCATGCTCATGTTGAAAGAGCATGGCGACGGGGCGTGTTATCCGGATAGGTGCAGAATCACGTCACTGCTCGATGACGGCACCGCCAGCGGAATAAGCCGCTTGATCTACGGCCAGCCAATCGACATCACTTATGTGGATGGAGGTTGTACGAGATGCAAAAGCGCTTGCATCCACTGGAAGAACGATGGATGTGTTCATGTTCGTTGAGTTGAACACGATGTGCTTCCGTGTGTAACGGGACTACTATACCGGCACTGATTGTAGTGCAAGCGACATACGCTGGTGACGCTGTAAGCCAGTTGACGCGATGTTCCATGCTTACTATGTGTAGGAAGCGTTCGGTTGATCAGGCTCGTCAACTGAAGGTACGAGGGGGCTAAATGCATGGTATACTTATTTTTTACATCGGAATATTCCTTATCCTTTGTCAACTACAGTACATGTTTGTACACGGATCCAAATACAAACATGTACTATGTATGAGTGTCTACTCACTACTCCTTGCGCATCATTTTCGATTGAACATGACACAGACCACTATCATTGCCCATATCAATGCATATAAGCACCCCATCATCAGACGTTTACTATCATTTCCTCTACAAGTGATACTTCGGACATTGATTGCATGTCACCTAGCAAGGTGGTATCCACATCGACGTTGTCCGATCATCAATATAAATTGTGCTACAACCACCCCGTTGCACTTATGGCTCAGGTGTTGCGCGTTCAGCTACGGATTGGTAAAATTTATTCCACTCGCATACAAAGCAGCATTTGATTTCGCTTCGTGGAGTGTAAGCTCACACCATCTGTGTCTGACGAGCGACTGAAGACGTTATCTGGTATCTCCTAGAGTTCGAGCAAATGTTCATGGTGTGCTTAGGCCAGTGGCCGAGTTTGAAGACAGCATTTTCGGTCATGTCATCTGAACCTGCACGGCATCGGCTTTTGGTCGCATTATTACTGTCACTGGCTAGGCGCAGTGGTGAGTGAAACAAGATCCTTGTGAGCCTATGACTGTTGCGAGCTGTGTGAGCATCACTTTATTCAGTGCTTCCATTGCTCGGACTAGACAACAGCAGCGATTCAGGATGTCGAAAACGACTCGGAACATGTATCTGCCTCGACGACACAGCGTCCGAGTCGTACTGCCCCATTACTTGCACATCGTTTCTGCTTGTAGTACTTGCTGCGACCGCTACGCACGTCCAACCTGTTAGTGATCAAGTAGACACATACACCACTTGCAAAAAGAGACGTTGCGGTCAAGTTTTCGGTGGTCGCGGGCTTGCGTCGTGCGTAGGACGGCATAGAGCGGACTGTTACAAACATCCCTCGACGCAAACGCCTACTACTTGTCTTTCGTTCGGGCCCAACAAGAAAAAGGAATGCGTTGATTGACACTGCAGTATCTAACCCAGGAAGAAAGAAGCTGCAGAAGCTCACGATTGGTGACAATGCGTTCACATCGTGAGTCCAGTCATCCACGACGTACTCCTTGTCACTCATTGCTGCAATGGAGCGAGGTCGACACGTGCAATCCAATGGACACATCTGCGGTCGCGACTTTGCATACATACCCCTATTATGCAGTTCGTGGACAAGTGCGCCCGTGACTGGACACGTGCAAGCGTTTTTCAATCTTGATCCTCGCTAGACGAGGCTCGTCACGAACGATAATGACGTCTGTCTCGGTGTATCCTGCTGAGCGGTAAAAGCCCCGTGCTTTATCCATGAAATCCCCCGTGGTAAGCCAGAGCTGGTCGATCTGGTGGCCAACTGCCCAGTGCTCTAGCGTCGAGATGAGCAGTCGGCCAATGCCACGTCGGTGATGTGTACTCTTGACCGACAATCGCCGAACCCGACCTTCGTGCTTGGACTTCGCTTCGAGCCCGACCGTGCCCACAACGAGCGTCGGGTCGTCACGAGGCGTGGCGATCCAAAAGTTGCCGCCAGGCTTGATGTACGTGCCGTCGATATCGCTGAGGTCCGTTTCCAGACTGGTGACAATGTACTCGTCCATTACTGGGTCAGACCCTTTCACGGGCATGCCCTCTTTGAAAAGCTCAATTACTTGGGCCATGTCATTCGGGCGGAACGGACGGACGACAATGTCGGACGAGCTTTCAGGCAACGGCGCAGATGGCACTAGTGCAGGAGAGGAGGACATGGCAGTGGCAGCCATGGCGTCAAATTTGTTTTGATTGTACCACAGAGTTGTGAGAACGTGTACTCAGAAATGGCAGCGCGTACGTCGGAGAAGCGACAAAGAACACATCAGAAGCTCATTCCAACGCGGCTGTCTGAACTACTTTTCTGAAACGCAGGCGTCGTGAACAAGATCGCTCATGACCAGTCGCAGCTGCTTCGCGAGCTGGAACTCTGCCTCGTGGAGAGAGGCGCCGTGGATGCTGTTTTTACCGACGTCATCGTGGCCGACTGCGCGGTAGAAAGCACGCGCCTTGCGTCCTCTCCAGACCGCCAGTAGTTGTACCAGATCGGTTCAATGAGCCCCTTCGTCTCGCTGCAACAGCTCGAACTCGACCACTGATTGCAGCCCAGGCGACGCAAGTGCTCGGAATGTACGGCAACTCGGTATCGGGACTTTCTGAATCACGTGCGACCAGATCGCGGACAACGAGTGGCGTCTCGATAGAGTTTGCAGTTGTCAAGTGATCGAACGTGGTCGCTTTGGCGAGTGGGCAGTCAGTTGATCAACAGATCATCGGGAAGACTGGGAACAAGTCAAGTTTGTCTGTCTCGACTCGGCTGTGGATGCCAAAGGCGATGGGATCAGACGACATACTAAAGGATCGGCAGGAAGAGCGACAAGAGGGCCTGGGAACAGATAATGGGACGATCAGGAGTGCTCGCTCTCTCACATGCGTGTCGCAGGAGGTCCATACCGACTCGGGAGATGTTGGCGCTCTTTCTCTCTACTTCTGTGGAGTGCAGTCGCTCGCTTATGGCATCGTTGACGACACTTCGCGCGCATCGCTCGTCTTGCGATGCACAGTGACGGACGACGAGCTTGTAACTGGAGACGTGTGGCGGTAACGTCCAGCAGCGGCAGATCAGCGTAGACACCTCGTAGCCAACATGCGAAACGTTTGCGAATAAACGACGTCCTGACGCCCTGTGTCAGCACAAAGCACATGCGACCAGCAGACAAGAGCTGCATGACCTGACGCGATGTGCTTCGAGAGAGAGAGACATTGGTCGTGCCAACTCCGTTTGAGGAACACACCTTTCTTGCAGATGTGGTTGCGTTGTCTATACGTCATATTCGACATCGTTGTCGTAGGGCTGAGCTAGCGGACAGCAGTAGACGTGAGAGCTAAACTACACATAGTTCTTGCACAGGCGTCTACAACGGCACGTCTGGTGCTTGGCGTGACGTCTGAGAAGGTTGTGCAAATAAGTCAGCAGTGCTGGCGCCTTGAGCTGGCACACACAGGAGTGACGACGTAAGGGGTGGACGCACAGCCGTGTCTGGTCAGTGCTAGGCGGCAAGTCAGGACGATCGGTCGAGTAATGTGCCAGCGCGATCGGTCGGTACAGGTGTAAGAAGAGTCACACTACGAGCGAACAACGACTTGTAGACGACTACATCGGAACCGGAACGCGTTTGACAAACCAACGCGATGGATTGCTCGCTCACCGAGCTCATGCACGAAACAGCAGCACGTCGTACGGTCTGCTTTGTCGGCAAGCGTAGAGGACAGAGGTGCAACTGCTATCTTACAATGAGCTCTGCTTCTTGCACGATCTCAGCCTTGCTGTGTATCCGCTGTATCGTGTGTCGGCTGAAGCCTGATTAGTCACTGCACCGACTTACAGCATCGTGCAGAGAAGCATGTGCTGCATAGCTTTCGCGACTCCATGCTGGGAGATCTCGTGATGCTACAGCGTGAGGATCTGAGACCGAGAGGCATCAGAGCTCTCCGTGAATGATGCGATGAAGCAGTCGAGTAGAGCGAATGCTAACCGATGACTTGTGGTGGGCCTGTTGTGTATCAAAGACTTATAGCAAAGCAGTGAGTGTCTTCTGCTCTTGGATGAGTTGGGTACCATTCATTCGCACGCCAACCCATTCGCTGCACACGAAAAGATCACATCGATAGTGGTGTGATCGATACTAGAGTGAGTCTGCATTCTGCAGTGGTGACTTGTATGAGCATGTGCAAAAGCCAGAGCGTGTGCTGCACTTGTCGTCCATGAAAGTAATGGTCGGAGAGATTGCATTGCATCCGTATCCGAAGGAAATGTACAAGATGCTGTCGGCGTTTGTGGCCAGGTGTGTGCTTGTGCTTGACTTGCAGGAGTTTGCACGCAATGGTGAGCACGAGTCACGCGCACTGTGATTGTGCAACGCATATAGGCTCTGATCGGTCAAGAGACGTGAGGTCTGGCTGCCGTGGACGCATCCCTTTTCCATCCTGCATGTCCGTTCGCTGGGGCTATATTGGCATGTGCCGTGCAGAGTACGCGCGGTCTGAGGTCTCTTGTAAGTCTCATCGAATGACCAAGAGCAGCGGTACGACAAGCGGAAACAAAAGAACGAAATGTCAGCTGCCACAGCGACAGGTAGCGCGTTGAGGGCCGTACGAAAGCACACGTGTAGAGCTTCTGCACGCTCACAGCACTCGTCTGAAGAGTGTGAGGTCACGTTTCGCCACGATGTCACGTCGGTGTTCTCAACTCTTGCACCTTTTAGCATGCGCAGGCGGTGGCAACGGGACCCACAACTCACCACTCCCCGCCGATCTACCACGTCAATCTCGAAAGGCACGGCCTCTTGCTGCTACTATCATACCGTCTCGACACCGTCGAGCGCAGCGGACGCTACAATCAGCGTGGCTTTCTGACCTGCTCCTGTTGACGAACGATCTTGACCAATGCGAATGAGGTGTACGATTGCCTGGTCGTCGGCCTGGGTGCCGAAGACTTGGCACTCGTTGTGCGGCCGAAGGCAAGTTCCCGTCAGTTGAGCAACTGATCACGCTGCTCAATTGTGTAGAATGGCGGTCAGCAGTTCCTGTCCAAGAGCGCTCGCTATATGCTCAGCCATTAGACACTGTAGGACTAAACCCGCCGCCTCATGCAGCTTCACTGTCAAAGGTTGACCTCACGGGCACCAGAATCTCTCAGTCGCCCAGTTCGTCTCGACCGTCTTCGACCAGTCTCATGAGCACCGCTTTGCCACAGTCATGACCTCAATCGTATCTACATTTCATATACGCTGCCAACATGCAATGAGCTCACGAGCTACAAACAGAGAGCTGTGGAACCCTCGTGGTCTCTGAAGACCACCAGCCAATACGATCACATCCCTCGTAGCCACCAGACCCACCACTTCTGCCACGACACATCACCTCGTTCCGTTCGCCGTCAAAGAAACGATATGTCGCAATCCATCGCTCCTTCCGTCGTCTTCGTCCGCAGTCGCTGCAACTGCCTGTCCACCAGTTGCTCGCGAGCGTGCAGCACCAACACGCTATTTTGAAAGAGACCGTGTGTGACGAGGCGGTACGTACCGTCTCCGATACCACGTCGGACTCGTCGAGATACGGCCGCAAATCCGTCCGTCAGTCGGCCGTCACAACTTTGCAGAGAAAGAGAGAGAGACTCGACAGTCCACAAACTGTCATCTGTTTCGATGGCTCTGAAGACGCGTACAACTTATGATACGCACACTCCCGTTGATTGCGCCGTGGAACGGACACTGCAGTACCGTGACGCTGAGCTCATGTGCTACTTCGGGGCACGTGCGATACCGGTAAAAGGACGCGGGCGAGACGGGCCAAAGTAGCTCGTGTACAATTAAGTAAGTACCAATCACGCGTCGCCAGGCGCTATGACTTGACAGAATATATTCAATTACAATACAAATGGCGATATCAAAGCTCAACACATTTCTACGTTTGCTGACGTCGCGAAGGGGACGATAAATGCAGTCTTTGGTACTGGTCCGACCAGACTACGCGTCTCGGTCCGGGACAGCAACGACCGTCGTCTGCGGCCGTGACACATTGTCCACGTATCGACTCATTTCGCCATGTTCTACCTCCAATCGTGTCAACTGTATCCAGTGCGCGTGTCACAGACGTCTATTGCTACCGACCAGCAGCCGCTGCACATCTGGGGTGGCGTCCTGTCTCTGCCGCCACTGCCTTCTGCCTGCGGGTAGGGCTCTGTACTGGCTCGAAGTCGCATCGTTGTTTCGCGGTTTATCCTACCGGTACTTCTCTCGCCCCATACCGTCGGCGCTCAGTGCTCGCGTCCGACGGACTCGCAGCCGGAGCCTCTGTTTACCGCCGCGATACCGACCCGAGCGCGTCGCTGTCGTCACCGCTGCAATTCTCAGGGCCGTGAATTTTTAGCTGGCGCGAGTCGCCGCAAATCGTCGTGAGAGGAGGAGGTCCGAGCGAGCGAATGTTTCGACGATTCCAGCCAATCCGCGCGACACGGTGGCCAATTGTTCGGTCGGAGCGTCCGAGTGCGCCTCGCTCTCTCTCTCGGTATCGCGTTCAGCTGGGCCGGTCTTTTTTTTCTCGCTCGCTCGCTCGCTCTCTCTCCTCGCTCGCTCTCAGTCCATCGTTCAGTCTGTCTTCATTCTCGCTTTTGGCCTGATCGACCCCATTGCGACGACCGACGTCTGAAGTAGTCGCAAGCGGTACGATACAACGCGCCCGACCACCTCGAAAAGACCCAATTACCGACGACGGTAACAACAACAACAACGAACGACCCAAAACAACGCCAATCGCCACTACTTAACAAGACTGAGGCTTCGTACGTACGACGGCACGCTCATGCTGCGTCCGCTGCCGCTCCTGCTCGCCGCGCTCCACGCGTCTTTCAGTGCGGCGGTCGACGTGAGCGTCTGCCGCGATGCCACGTACGACATTGCCGTCGACGCCTCGACGCTGTGCGCGGGCGCAGGCGCGTTCCCCGCCGGGACGAACTGTCCGAAAACCGGTACCGTCGCGGTCGCCGAGTGCTACCCGTACCTCCCGTCGTACGTGGACGGCCAGTGCGTAGCGCCCGAGGACGCCGTGTGTCGGCAAGTGAACGGAGACACGTGGGGCTGTGTCTTGCCGTCGATCGGGTGCGACGACGTTGTTTTGGGTTCCCCGCACTGCGCGACGTGGGACTATTTTGGGGCCCCTCCCGCGCCTCGGCCGTTTGACGGGCACGAGGACGTCAAGTACGACGCGCGCTGGTTCGTCCAGACGACGCCGCTGCGCGACCTGTGGGGCTGCGAAGTCGAAGAGCCGACGCCAGCGCCCACGACACCGCGCCCGACGCCCGCGGCGACCGCTCGAGCGCGCATTGCTACGCCAGCGCCTACGAGACGAACGCCGGCGCCGACCCCGGCCTCGACGACGAGGACGAAGATACCGGTACCGACACCGACGCCAGCCCCGACAACGAGGAATAAGATACCGGTACCGCCGACACCGACGCCAGCTCCGACAACGAGGAATAAGACACCGGTAATGCCGACACCGACGCCAGCCCCGACGACGGGGACGACGACACCGGTACCGCCGATTTCTACCCCAGCACCGACGACGGGGACGACAACACCGGTACCGCCGACTTCTACCCCAGCACCGACGACGGGGACGAAGACACCGGTATCGACCGAGACACCGGTACCCGCGTGGACGGAAACTCCGGCGCCGTTGTGGAGTGCGACGCCATCGCCTACAGTGGCAAACACGACGAATTCGAGTGCGCCTGGGAACGTCTCGTTTGAGTTTGACCTCTATGGAGTGAGGGTGGGCGATGTGGGATCTCGAGACTTGACGGACGAAATGCCTTCGACTGCGTCGCAGTTGTCGTTGGACGACAAGAAAAAGTCACCGGGAGCCGGCGAAGCTCCGTCGACTGTGTCGCTGTTGTCGTTGGACGCCGAGAAGGGCTCGACAGGAGTCGGAGCTGGCACAATTGCAGCGGTGGCGGTCGCCGCGGCAATTGCTGCCGTTGTTGCAGTTGCTGCGGTGTATACGCGGAATCCGATGCAGTTGTTCCAGCACCAGAACGAGGCAGAAGGAGCAGCTCGAGCGAGCCCGGAGTACGAGATGGTCGTGACGCCTCCTCATGCTGTGACGTCTCCACATGGCATGACGTCGCCTAGACTGTGAGAAGAGACAAGAGAGAGAGAGAGAGAGAGAGAGAGAGAGAGGGTCTCAAGGGCAGAGAAGCGCGAGAGTGAGAGTGGAAGGGATGGAGAGAGAGAGGAGAGAGAAGAAAGAGATGGAGAGAACGAGCTGAGACATCGAGACTGAGCTTGGACGCTCATGGACACTTTATTGAGTAACGGACGCACTTGCAGAGAGTAGGAAGACCGACTGACCGACCGACCGACCGACCGGCCGGCCGAGCGACAGATTGAACGAACGAACGAACGGACGAACGAAGGACGCTCCAGCAAATAGCAAGTACTTTTATATCTGACAGTTTGTCAGCGTGTGTTTATCGAAACAAGAGTTAATCTACTGCGTCGCAGTAAATGTCGGAGCGCTGATGCCAACGATGCTGTTGAACTGCGTACTGAACGTAGCCTCCGCTGCCGTGTCCAGTTGCTGCCGAGCAGCTCGCCGCTTGAGTTTGCGCCACTGTTTCGCTTTGCGTCGTGCGGCTAGCGCTGTCAGCGGGTTCAGAGCGTCCTGGGCCAGCTTTGCAGCAAGCTCTTGTGTTGACAACGCAGTGCGTGGCAGAGCAAAGTCGCCAGTATCAACGCGGTCGTCTTCCATCTCGGAGTCCGAGTCCACGTCGTCCGAGTCCGAGTCGTTCAGCATTTGGCTGATACGCGCGGATGCAGGTACGGCGTCGGTCGTTTCGGCGCCGGATGCCATCACCACATCACTGTGAGCAGCCACTGCAATCGAGCAGTGCGGACCACTGACCTCCTTCGCAGTGTCGAGATCCGGGAGGAAGATGCTTGTCGGATTCAACGCTTCATCACCGACATTGAACTCCTGGCCAAACGAAGTGACCAGCTGCGTATCCAGCACCTGAGCGCTCTGGTCCGGCGGCGGTGTGTAGTACGGCAGCTTGCCCCGGTTCCAGTCTTGCAGCACGATACGAGCAGCAGCCTGACGATCTGGAATCCCTCCTTTGCCTAGTTTGCCCTTGCTCTGGGCCACAAGCACCAGAAACTGCACGGCGTCTTTGAAACAGCTCGACACGGTATCCACAGGCAGCTGATAGAGTGCAGCGAGCTGTGCTGGCTGGCACCGCGTCAGTAGGACCTGCACGGCACCCACAGGATCTTCCATGGACTCGGCATTGATGCAGTTTCGCAGCAGCAACGCGCTCGAGTCCGTGTGGTCAAACACAATGCCGGGGCAATCCAGCAGCTTGATCTTGCTGTCAATGTGCACCTCTTGCATGACTTTTGTGTGGCCCGCCGTGCTCGATACACTCGCCGCTTTGCTGCGTTTCAACGAATTGATCACAGAGCTCTTGCCGACGTTCGGGTACCCAATCACGCCCACAGTGATAGCGGTCTTGACTCCGTGGCTGCGGCAATAGTTCTTGAGCAGCTGCATCAACGCGTCCGTGCCCACTGCTTTGCTCCCACTCACTGCCTCACTCGCAGCTCTGTCCGCGCGTCCAAAAGTCGCACTCAAGTGCTTTGCCTGGTGCTGCGTCGACGCTTTGAACGCCACTGTGGGGTAAAAGCCCCGCAGGTACTTGAGCCACGGCTGCAACACGTGCGGCGGCACGAGATCCACTTTGTTCAGCACCAAAACGAGCTTCTTGCCGTGGCGATTGCCAATGGCGTCCTCCGTCTCGAGCGTGCGACAGCCCATGGGGTCGCGGGCGTCCAGCACTTCCAGAATCACGTCCGCCTTGTCCACGACCTTGCGCAGCTCCTTCGTATAGGCGCGTCGAGAGGCGTCGGTAAGCGTGCGTTCCGATTGGCCCGTTGGCTTCTGAGTCGCGGCCTGAGTCAGAGTCGTTGCAAAGTGGGCCGCGCTCTGTAGAGCCCGTCCTGCCAAGTGCGCGAGACTCAGATCTGATCCCATCTGGCGCTGCCGATGGAGCTGTTGGCTGCGGAGCTGCTCGCGCTTGTGCTGCAGCTTCTGCACACTCTGCTGCTTGCCCACGAGACGCTTCGTCCGCGCCGTGCAGTTCTGCTGCCCCACGTGGCGCTGGTGGCCGCGCAACGCGTCTGTAGTGGCGCTCTGGCGCTTAGCACTGCGGCGGGTCGACGACTGCTTGCGCCCCATGTTCTGTGGGTGGGTGTGTGGGTGGGTGGGCTTATGTCGTCCGCTTTTGTCACAGTGGGGACTGCGGCGAAGGACTGGTTGGCGGCGGAGGTGGGGGCGGGATATCGACCAATCAGAGCGATCGAGAGGAGGCGCGACGAAAGGGCGTGGTGTTTAAAACACGTCGTTTCTATAAGTGCCTTTTTTTCGCGCGCGTGAACAAGAGCATCAGGTTGTAGAGGTGTTTCGACAAGGCATTGTGTACCTGAGGTTCGTGGACACGTTGTTGTCCATGTTGCGCTTTGCTGTACAACAGCTCGGATGGGAATGAACCGTTCGTGGTCCGGTTACACACAGGTGAAAGTGGACGGAAATGGCCATCGAATGCGATCGCTTTGTCTGCAGGTAGTAGCGACTCTCGTACAGATCAATTACTCTGTAGTGGATACAATACACATAGCAGCACATGCACTGCGTATGTTGGCAGCTGCGTGGTGTAGTCATTAAGAAGAGAGAGAGAGAGAGAGAGACTTTGTATGACGACATCTCAGCTCAGATGTTTGGGATACGAGTGCAACAAACACATACAGCGACTGACGATCCGGTCAAGTGCATGCTGACCACCTCGAGAAGGAACTGGCACCTGCATTCCAGCTAATTAGTTGTCAATTGGCAGCATGTGAACAAGTAAGCGACAGTGTCAGTTCATGTGAATGTGTATTCGACGTCATTTACTTACTGCGAGATACTGACTCGACCTCAAGATCAGTTTTCTGCACGTGCTACAGCACTTGTCTACTTATGGAGATAAGGTCTCGGACCGGAGGCGGTGTTCTGCATGGAGGAGCGCCTTGCAATCTCAACTTGACGGTCCGAAGACCTCGTGAGCCTTATCTTTGTAGCAGCAAAGAATGCAGCAAAACACTCGCTGACACACCTTACCGAGCAGCTCATACACGTGCGCCTATCTCCACATAGCCACAGTCACTTGCTGCACTTGTGCCGCCGAAATGAATGTCTCATGAGGAACATACGGGTAGCACGGACAATAGAGAGGCAGCGGGGAATGCAGTTGTGATCAAGTGTCCTCGACTGAATCTTTGTATCGTGACGTTTACGCTTGACGAGGTCATGTTGCAAGCCACGAAGTACCCAGTGTCGATCGATCATACAGAGACAAGGGCACAAAGCTGACCGTGCAGATCAAAGCAAAGTTCGAGATGGCAGCAACGTATGGTACTTCGCCTCGTATCAAAAAGCGTATCGGGTACGATGGTATTGATCTACTGTATACATGAACGACAGTTCCTACTTCCGTATCCACGTTGTGGTGGCAGTGGTCTTTGCCTCACCAGAACGCGGCTGAAACTTCATCGTGAGAAAAATGTACACTTTGGTCCTGCGTGTGATGGTCAGCGGCGTTTATACTTAGCTGGAGACGGTACGTTCGTGTGGAAATGCAGCCGTTTCCTCCACTCAAAGCTTAGCTGCTCTTCGTCTCCGTGATGGAAGTAGATGCGGGTTTGTCATCGGTATCCACTTGCTCGACATTGGCCTCCTGTACCTCGACAGCGCCCTCCAATGCAGCGCCAACGTTCGTCTTCTCCTTCTCTACAACCGTCATAGACTCGGCAACGGCTTCCGTTCGCGCGGTAAGCGTCACAGCCTCAGCCTCTCTAGCAACGTCAGACGCATCAGCAAAGACAGCCGTCTCGCCAATTGCAGCGGCTTCAGCAAGCTCGATTGAGTCAGTACCCGTCTCGGTCTCGACTGGCTCAATCGTCTTCTCGTCTACAACCACTTCGATGACTTTCTTCACAGCAGGCTCGATGGTCTCTTCGTCCTCGCCCCTTTCACCGACTCAGCTACCACCTTTTCCTCAACAAGCTCAGTAACTTTCTCCTTCGTTATCGACCCGACAATCGGCTCTTCCGCCACTCGCTCAACTGAATGACCTGCACCAACATCACCAGCTTGCTCCTCCTTTAGCAGCTCAGAGCTCTCTTCTATAGCAGACACTTCGGCCTTCTCTAGCTCGGCGACCTTCTCCACTTCACCGACGCTCACCAGACCACTGACCTCCTCCTCCTTTACCGACTCAGTAGGCTCATCCACCGCAACCACTTCAGACACGTTCGTCGCAACCGCCTGCGACGCCTCCTGAACAACTGACACGGCAATCTCCTCGTCCACACTGGCCTCAGTGACCTTCTCCTCGTCAACCGTATCAACAATCCCCTCTTCCTTGACGGCCTCAGCGACCTCTATCTCCTCAACCGACTTCACCTCCGTCTCAACACGGGACTCGACAAGCTCCTGTGCCTCAAACGACCCAGCAGCCTCCGTTCCCTCAAGTAAGTCACCTCTGTCCTCCACAAGACCTTCTGCAGTCGTCTCCTCTACCACCAGCTCTACCCCAGTCTTCACATGAACCAGCTCAAGTACCTCGTTCTCTCCACTCGACTGACCAGCTCTCTCCTTCTCCACGACCTCGACAGCCTCCTCCTCCTCCATCTCCTCCACTGACTCTTCCGCCACACCAACTGCTTCCACGTCTGCCCCCGCTGTTCCAACTTCAGCAGCACCAGACGCCTCCACAGCGCTACTGCTTTCCCCACTCGTCGTCTCCTTCTCCCCATCGCCGCCACTGCCTCCACGGTCCACAAACTGCACGTCTCCGTCTCGCCTCACTGTCCCCTCCAGAGCCACTTCCTCCCCACGCGGCTCGTCCACGCGGTCCTCTTCGATCTCAGCCATCAACCGGTCGCCCTCTCCCACTTTGTCGTCCCCTCGCGGCGCCGTGTCCGGCATCACGCGCACCGACGCGACGTTTGGCTCTGTCGTTGCACTCGTTGGAGCGCTCACTGTCGCGTCAATGAACGAAATGTTAAAGGACGAAAAGTTGGCGCGGACGCTGGCGGGGACATCGACTGCCACACTCTCCGGCGCCACGAGGGCGTTGGGCCTCGAGGCACACACGGGCGCCTGCTCCTCAGCCCGCGCTGCACCACTATTGGTAGTATTGTCTCCACTATTGGTAGTATTGTCTCCACTATTGGTGGTATTGTCTCCACTATTGGTCGTATTGTCTCCACTATTGGTGGTATTGTCTCCACTATTGGTGGTATTGTCGGCTCCGTGATTGGCTGGCGCAATGTGGTCTTTCGGGAGCTCTTCAGCTGTTGTTGTTGTTGTTGCATTGGCCTCGTGCGTCTTGTGCTCAATGAGGAGGTCTTTGGCCTCGGGCGGGACGCTCCCCCCCGGGGACGGACGCAGGACGGGCGACGTCTGTCGCTTTCGACTGGCTGCACCCCATTGCAGAGGCGAAAACGAGTGGCGCAAACGAGAGGGGAACCGGCACGCGCTCTGGTGGGGGCGAGACGGGAAATGGGAATGTGCCGTTTAGCGACCGCTTGTGCGCTGTGGCGGTCGTTCATGTGGTGGCGGGCAGTGTGGTTGTTGTCTGTTGTTGTTGTTGTCTGTCTGTCTGTTGCCACGGGAGTGTTACTTCACGTTGCTGCACCGGCTGACGGCGATGGACGACGGTCGGTAGAGGCGCGCAAACGGAGCAGACGGCCTCGTCTGTCGGTGGGAGCAGCTGGTATGACTACGTAGAGGTCTCGACGGAACCGGGCGATGCCGTTCACCTACGAACGTGACAAAAGCGGAGGGTCTGCGGTATCCGCGTCTATCAATAGGCTTCGAGGATAGGTGGGCATCACTGAGTTGACACGCGTATTGTTTATTCCTGCGCAGTGACTAAGTCCATACGCACGTAGCGTTGCTGAGGACTCCTGTGTCCGTGGGACAGGCAGCTGGCAGACACATTCTCGCGTCGCTTTCTCCCACCACCACGTTGCAGATGCGGTCGCGGCTGGTGGTCAAAAATCCACTGCCGGCTGCCAATCGATGCTGCGCCCGTAACCTTTGGCAGCGACCGACCGAGTTGCTGTTGCTGGGATTGGACGTGTTCTCAGCCCGCGCGGCTGAGACGAACCCATATATTGACGCCGTCGGACGGCTTATACGTTCGTGCGCAGTCGATGGATGACGTCCGACTTTCCGGGAAGCTATTGCTCGCGCGAAGAATGTTGTGGCTATTGAGGCAGAGGAAGCGCTGTGGAGCGGATTGTGAAAACCGGCACACGATGTACTACTACGAAATATTCGCAAACGCGTGCACAGGACGCACAGATGTGCCCCGAACGCAGAGGTAGTAAACCGAAGGCGAAGAGCGTTCGTATGCAACGTCCCGTGTGGTGAAAGTCGACAGTGTTGTTGACCGTCGAGTGCAGCAAAGATAGTTAGTATCCATACAGGTGACGTTGCTGCCGGGAGCTGTGCACACTTTGTCGCGGGTTTGGCAGACAGACGCTCACGTGTTTGTAACTCTGGCGCTGGTCATGGAGCACTTCCTTCCTACACGACGCTACTCGCCTTTGGTCATCAAGGAATGCAACGCGCACACTCGTAGTCTAACTGCGCTTCGCTATCTCGGAGACAGTCGTCCATGCGATCGATCGGACCATCCCACGCCTCAATGCTGTAAACCTCTTGCAGCGTTAGTACGGCGTCCGGAGACGACCAGAAGCGTCGTCTTTATACTTTCTGTGCGCATCTTCCGCACGGAAGTGGGTGACAGGCCGTCGAACGTACACATATGCCGCGCGTCGTATCTCTCTGTCCTGGATACGATCCGTGCACCTGTTCGTGTCGAGTGTACGGTGAGACCCTCTTGGGGCAGCAATATACGTTCGTTGTTGTAGAGCCTGCAACAGCACAGAGGGACGTGCGTACAAACAGCGGACGTGTACTACTACGACTTCCCACTGGCTCGCGTCTGTAACGCTGGAACGGTCACTTTCCGTGTTCTGACGGACGCAAAGGGCACACACACACACTATTCGAAGACTCGACGAGACAGCCACAAGATTCGATGGCTCTGAATGCGTAACGTGACTGCATTCGGTTGTCGGTAGTCGCTACCGACAGCAAAAGTCGCGCAGTAATGTCGTGGAGGTAGAAGAAGACCGCACGATTACACGCGACTGGATGGAAAGGTCCGTAGTATCGCGTCGCACGCGTCGGTTTTGCTTCTTTTGGTGGCAAAAACATGTTGAAGCGATCGAAAGAGGTGCCACCCGTGACACGTGCCATTGCACACGACAGATCGGTAGTATCGACAGTCGCAACATGCAGAGAGCACTCGAGGAGGATATGTGCGTGTGTAAGCCTCACGGCGCACTTGATACAGACTGAAAGCCCGTCGTCGGGAACGACTTTTTGTATTGCAAGAACGACGCAGGCCAGACACTTGTGTCGACGTCCGCACACGTGGAAGAACGCACGACTCGTGTGTAACAACGTCTCTGCTCTTTGTGCTGCTGTGTGTCAACATCGCCCCATTGACCGCTCGGCTTGTCCAGCGTTTGCAACACCAATTCGTTGCAGTATATATGAGAGCGCAGCAATGAAATGCAGAGGCTACTGATAGCGAGTGAGTGACGCTGGAGCTGGAGAGTGTGTGGGGGATGCAAAGGACTGGTGAGCTGAGTAAGGCGCGTCCGTCGTTGCTCGAGTCAAATGCCTCAAAAAGTGTGACTCTACTCGCTACTTGTGCCGTAGAAACACATCGAACGACAGTGCGCTTGTCAACCAAACGTTGCAGGAGCGCCACTATGTCCTATACAGGCGGATGGATACCACACAGCATCTACTGCATGTCAATCTCCACTTGCGTGCAACTTGTCAAGCGTCATGCTCTACAATGTCAAGAGATCTTTATTGCAGCAGGACTATTAGCTATACACACACGCACCCTTATCGCTCGTCTCTCTACGTACGACCGCTCACTTCTATCAATCATTGCATGGCCACTAGTTCGCCGCGATAAACTGCTGAAACGCGACACTCTCATGCAGATCGGCATGTTCTTGCACGTAATGCAAAAAGCCTCCAAACGCTCTCTCGCGGATCTCGATCGTCTTTTTGCTGCGACGGCCACGCAAAAAGCTGCGGACCGTGGGCGTTGGCAGCTCTGGCAAACCACATGCACTTGGCAGATCCATTGCTCGGAGCTGTTCGTCCAGCAGTTTGAAGTCGGAGTAGCGCTTCGGAACAGACGTCACGCGCTCGCCCGTCACGCGGTGGATCGCGTAAATGTGGTACATCATCACTTTGTTCGCACGCGTCACGCCGAGGATCTCGTACGTCAGGTGATCGTAGGCACTCGTTTGCGAAGAGTTGCGCTCCGGTGTCGTCTCTACGATCGTCATGTCATCCGCAACTGATCTTGTCAAGTGACTTGCACCTGCTGCCCCCACCAGAACCTTTGCAGTGGCTTCACTCGCCACGGCACTATCTTTCGCCTGCACACTTGGAGCTTCTCGTACAACCTCAGGCGTCCTCCTCTCGATCAAATTGGACTTGTCCTTGACGCAGTCGCCATCGGCCGTCGAATGCTCAGCCTCATTGTCAACGCAAAGCACCTCCTCCTTCCCGGTCTCTTCGAAGACAGAAGGCATCTCCTTCACTACCGACGCCGCCGAGTCGCTCGATGGCTCTTCAACTCGTTTCTTCATCGGCGAAGAGGCATCGGCGTCAGCGACAGCAGCTTCGATTCGCTCAATCAACAGCACCACAGCTGGCACAGCATCTTCGTCGACTCCGTGGAAAGCCTGGGCAGGACCGTGTGCCACCGCGTCAGCTTCGAGTCCGTTGACGGGCAAACTCGACGCGTCAGTCGCTTCGTCATAGCTGGTCACCTCTTCTGTCATGCACTCTTCGACACCGTCTTCTGCGACCTCATCAGTAATATCGACAACGGTCGAAGTCTCTTCGACAGCTTCATCAGCCTCAGTAGCTCCAGCATCTGTTGCATCAGCTTCTCCCGGGTTTGTACTGTCAGTAAACCTGACAGTCTTGACCTTTGACGTGGTAGCGGTCCCAGTCTTGTCGTCTTGGGCGGCACACGTTTGCTTGACGACGTCCGTCGAGTCCTCAATCAACTCTGGTACGACTGACTCACCTAATGCAACCGGAGGTTCCTCGATCGCGTCCGCTGTGTCCACGACATCTTCTGCCTCGACAGTCCATTCCTTCACAACCGTCTCGCTAGAAGAGGCTTCCGGCACAAAAACTTGAGCAGACGTACCACCATCAGCGTCCGCAGTAGCGATCACACTGTCCTCTTGAGCGCACTCGTCCGTCTCGTTCATTGTCCTAGCGTCCTCCGTATCCGTTGTAACAGGTGCCTCAGCAGCTACTGCTTCAGCCGGTGCGTCCTCGAGTGTCTCCTCGGATGCAACAGCCTCATCGAGCGCTACATCTGCGTCCTCCGTCTCCGTTGTGGCAAGTACCTCAGCAGCTACTGCTTCAGCCGGTGCGTCCTCGAGTGTCTTCTCGGATGCAACAGCCTCATCGAGCGCTGCATCTGCGTCCTCCATCTCCGTCTCTGGACTCTCCTTGGCTGTGTCCTCGAGTTGTGACTGCGTCGAATGCGCTTTCGCCTTTGCTGCAGTCCACAAAGCACTTCTACGGGACCACGTCGAAGGCGGCGTGGGAAGCACTGAGACATCAAAATCACGTGCATCACGAACCGAATACGTCCGCGCACTCACTGCATCTTCAGCATTGCGTCTTGCGAGGCTCTCAAAGCGGCTGATGAGCATCGACACAGCACTGATCGGCCTCGTGTCGACCTCAAACTCATTGCTGAACTGCACGCTCTCGTCTTCTCCTTCCTCGCACTCGCTCACAGCAGCAAGTGCCGTCACATTGGCGTCCGTGGCAGGCGTCGCGACACTGTCGTCTGCTGCAACCGAAGCAGCTTCTTCCTCAAGCTCTGTACCCACCACCTCCTGCCCTTCGTCACCCGGACTTTGGTCAGCAGCACCTTCGACAGCACCGACTTGTTTCAGCACACCACCAACGAGTTCATCGACACACACGTCGTCGCCACCGACAACAGCAGTCGCTGTAGCACCAGCAGTAGCACTTGTCGTGTCCCGCGTCATTTCCAAAGTCTCTGATACCGAAACCGCGTCCGACGTTGCCTCGATATCGTCCCATTGACCGGTCGCGAGTCCAGCAGCTGCTTCGTCCGCACGCCGGTCCACAACCCGTCCGTCCGTCGTCCCCACGTCCTCTTCACTATCCTCCCGCTCCTCCATCTCGAGCTCAGTCTCTTCGGAGCTCTCCACTTCCGCCACCGTATCAATAGGTCTCACCGACATGGCACGATAACTACTACTACTACTACTACTGCTACTGCTACAGCTGCTACTACAGCTCTGAGTCCCATCTTTTTTTCCGGCACGCCATTGCGATCGACACGCGCTCTGTGGCAGCAAAGGTGACCGTCTTGTCCCTGATCCCGCGCGTCGCACCTGAGGGGGATCTTGAAGAATGCCAGCAGAACCTTCCGGCAGCAATCGCGACCGCGAGACCCGAGCGCCGCCAACTGATTCGGCCCCAGCGTCAACGACAGGCGGTTCAACTCAAATGCCCACCAGAAGGAGAGAAAGCGATAGAGAGAGAGAGAGAGAGAGAGACGACAGCAACAACGACAACGACGAAGAGCCGACGCCCCACTCTCTTCCGTGTCGGACGTGCGACGGCAGCCGAAACTTTCGCCTGTATCGCGTCGTTGCCGACCACAGCGACGTCACGACCGGAACGGCGCGAACTGAACCAAATCGGTCCGTGTTTGCCTTACGGACATAGTCGTCGCCTCAACGCCACGCAAATGGTCGTCGTCGTCGTCGGTGTTGTGGTTGTTGGTGGTGGTGTCTTTGGATGGACCAGACGGCCGTCTGTCTCGTCGGGCAGAGTGGTTGCCGGCCCATCTTCCGTCCCAATCGCTCGGCACCAGCGAACAACAATCGCAAACGGGTCACCAGTGGCCAACTCCATCGGTCGGACGCCCCCCCCGTCGAGTGCGCCAAACGACATCCGACACGGCGACCTGCGCGACAATAAATAGTCCACGCGCGCCATCGATCGGCTGTCCTTCGCTTTCCTTCGTCTTCTTCTCCCGCTGTCTCTCGACTGCGACCGCAGCGACTCACGTGGCCATAGCCACAGAAGTGTCCGCTGCGCACTCGCTCGAAGTAATGTCACGTTCACTACCGGTCGCGCCATTACGCACAGCAGCCGCAAGTGAGTTCCTCGTCGTCCGTCCGACAACTGCCATCACGTTCCTCGAACGTACTACTGCTACTGCTAACGGCAGTAATCCGAGCGGTCGACCCATTGATCAACTGATTAGTTATTCACGAGACTTTGACAGGTTTTCGGTAGTAATGACAACTCACACACACAGAGACACACACAGAGACACACACAGTCAGGAGCTCTCCAGCGACGATCGCATAAACCCTTTTGTTGTTCTCGTTGTTGTCGCTCAGAGGACGAGAGGGCTGTAAGTATCGGAGACGCACGTCGCACCGTACGGTTCAAGTTGCAGGTCTGCCGCGTTCGTAGCAGCCATCTGATGAGGGGCGTCCGTTAGCATCTGGCGGCCAGTGGTATGGACGCCTGGGCCGTTTCAGCTTCTACGTCGTCGTCGCCTGTGCTCGAGATCCATGTGGTTTGCTCGACTTGGTGGGGGGGTTACGTGCCCAAGAGGTCGGACTTCTTGTCGACGTGCGCTCTGAAGAGCACTGATGCAGTGTTGCAGATCCAATGACTTGTACGCGTTGTGTGTCTGCATGCAGGTAACACATACGCAGATCATGTACCATTATGACGTCGCGTTCGGTCGTTGGGCTGCAACCTCATGACAATGGCGTTGGAATCGTCGACCGAGTGCAGATGGGCTGTTTTGACTCACCAGCGAAGCTGCGCGATGGAAAACGACACGGGAGACGCGGGACGGTGTGTCTTTTAGCTTAGCGACTGCATACCCGACAAGGCGTTAGTGGACCTCTTTTTGTGTTTACCTGCGCGCCAGTAGCGTCGCAGCAACGGCAGCAGCGACAGCCACTGCTACGGATGAGACCGCGTAGCTGTTGTTGCGGATTTGTTCGGGGAGAAAACTCAGCGAAGACGTTTGTGCGTCAGGTGCAGCTGCAGCTTCTGTCGCTGCCACGTCCCGGTCAATCACCATAGTCTCGTCGATCTCAGACTCCAGATCCTCGTCCACCTCTGCAGCACAAGTGGACCCGACTGCCTCTTGTGCAGACACATTGGAACTCTTTGGCTGCGATGCTGTCGTACACGCGTCACCGGTCGTACGCTTTGCTGCTGTAGAGACGTCTGGTGTCAACGACGACCCGAGCGCTCCGACAACATCGCTCGCAGTCTTCGCTACCGTTGCGGCACAAGTCGTCGCGTCAGTCCCGGCATCGTCTCGACCAGCGCTGCTATAGCTCTCCCTCGACTTTGCCACAGTCTCCACTGCCTCCGCTACGACCACATCAACGACTGTATCCGTGATAACTGCAACAACCTCAACCGCGTCCTGCTCGACCTCTACAGCAGTAGCTTCAACCTGACCCCCGCCTCCTCCTCCTTCTTCTTCGGCTGCAACGACTCTGACCACACTCTTCTCCATCGAGTAGACCGCTTCAGTCTCCAATGCAAAACTCCCACCGCCTTCAACGACTGCCGGCGCAACAGGTTCCGTCGCCACTCGTTCCGATGCCGTGTCCTTTTCTCTCGAGACGCCACGTCCGACTTTCGCGATCGTTCCGTCCGACGTCGCAGCGAAATCAGCTGCCAACACAAACGTCGATCGCGGAACGCTCAACTCGTCGTCCGTCTCACCTGTGAACGCCACCGATCGCGGAGGTCTCTCTACCAGAGCTGTCGTGTCCCCTCGAGCAGCTCTTCGGTGCTCTTGGGCCATCGGAACCACACAGGAAGTCTCGGACGTGTCACGGAGATTGCAGTAGTACCAAAGGGCCGGCTGCGTGTTGGCCATTGGGTCGTTCCTTCGGTCGTTCATGAGCGTACGTGAGCAGTGGAGAGAATGCCAACTGCCAGTTCCGGTGACAGACGTTCGTCTGCGTATCTGTGGACTCGACCGGTCTTTGATTTTTGGCGATCGGGTGGGGTGGGAGACGGGTTCGATGATTCGGCCGATGGATCGATCCATCGATCACTGAATGATTGGCATGCGGGGGACAAACGGGTCATACATACAGTGGAAATCCCACCTGAAAAGTCGAGCGAAATGGCCCGTGCACATGGGCAGACAGACGGCCCGAATGAGGTTAGCGGAGACTTTAGAGCTGTGGCGCTCATACCGCCGCTGCTGCTTTCGATCCACTGCTTCTTTCTCTCTCTCTCTCTCGCGAGCGCAGATGGAACATATGTGACGAACTTCGGCCCCATACGTTGCGGATATCCTCCTGGCAAATAGCGTCTGGACGTCTCATGGAAGTTCATACCTCCTCCTTGACGCACAATGAGCTCCTCGATTAGATCAGCTCAACGACAACAGAAACGAGTCAATGCGTGTGCAATAGCTGTGCTACGCGGCAGTAGCCACACAGCGAGAGATTGTTGGCAAAATTTAGTGGGGAACGACAGCGTCAAAGAACGCGCTGGTGGTCCATAGCAGCAGCGGCAGCAGCTACTGCTGGGGCGGCACAGCGAGAGGAACGAACGACAGCATACGTAGTCAGTCGGCTCGTCCGTCAGTGCGTCACTGGACGAGGAAGCGCTGGAAGACAGCGCTCTCGTGCAGCTCTCGATGCGTAGCAATGTAGTGCAGCACACTCGAGAACTGCGTCTGCCGTTCCTCAATGGTTCGCTGGCTCTGTCGACCGCGCACAAAGTGCACGAGACCTGCGGGAGGCAGCTCGGGTAGCTTGTCGGCAGCAGGCAGTTTGCTCGCCTTGAGCTGCCAGTACATGGCGCGGAATCTCGAGTACCGACGCAAGAGCACAGCGGGCCACTTGAAGCAGTCCGTCGCCTCCTCGTTCGTGCACTGCATGTGATACCACACGACGCCATTGGCCGTCGACGTGCCCACGATCGCATACGTCGGGGCACAGACGTTCAGCAGTGGGGCACTGCGCGATCGCGGCGTCTTCAGGCTCCACGTCGCGCTCACCGGCTCGAGTTGCAAGCTGCTCCTTTCGACGGGAGCTGCTCGCCCTGGAACCGGAGCTTGCGGATGATGACCGACCTGTGTTGACGCTGCGGTTGTCACGTTGGACACGGCCGCTCGCATGACCTCCTGCACGATCGCCAGCGCGTCGGCTTCCACGACTTTGCGTCGCATGGACTCGTCGTCAATGGCGTCGCACGACGACGTCTCGCGAGCAGCTGCACGACGCTCGTGACGGACATCCGCTTCCGTCTTCGGACCGCCGAGCGCATTCTGTCCACTCGATGCAGTCGTCGCAGCCACTGGTCGTCTCGTGTCGGTCGCGTTGCAGTGATCCGCTTCTGGACGGCCGCTGCAGTCGGCCGCGTCCAGTGCGTCCGTCACGTCCAATTCGCTCTCTCCACTGCTCTCGCCGTTCTGCGTCTCCGAAGACGTCGACGACGACAGCGGCGACGCATTGGCTTTCGTGGCACTGCCACTGACCGCCCGCCCAGTAGTGCGTCCGTCCCGACCCAAGAGCTCTTCTGGAATCGGCGGCAACTCGACCACGGGGTCGCTTAGAAGCGCAGTAACAAGAGACGACGGCGGCGGCGGTCCACCAGCAGCAGCAGGCAGCAGCAACAACTGGAGACGAAGAGGCCGGCGGGGTCTCCTCCTCGGGCGTGAACGACATGTCGCCCAGACTCGAGTGCGTGCTGCTCGTCTCGGACGCCTGGATGAACGAGAACGTAAAGGTGCGCACGAGGGCGTAAACCATTTCGCCGTCCGAGCTGCCGACTAAGTCGGCGCTGTTCGAGACGACGAACGACGGGACGTCGTCTTTCAGGTCGGTTCCCGTGGTCGGGTGCGCCGGCGCACCGCTCGTGGGGACGACGTCGCGCCGGACGCTGTTCGGCACATGGAACGAAGGCGTCGAGGGGCGTAAGGGCAGAGCGACGCTGTGGGCACGAAAGGGGCGCGTGGAATCCGCCGTCGAGTGGCTGCAGCCCATACTAATGGACACGACAAGAAACGGTGGGCAGCAAAACAATGCACCCACGTGCGAACGACGAACGACGTGACCGACGGGGAAGAAGAAGAAGAAGAAGAAGAAGAGCGACAGAGGATGGAGAGACAAAGCGCTTTGGAGGTGATGGCGAGGATCGTGACGGCGCGGCAACGGACAGGCGCGACGACCGGCGAAAGTGCGCGTCGGGTGTGGGGTGGGGCAGAGACTGTGGGGACGCTGCTCGATGACGACGGCGACGACGAGTCGGACAGGCGGCTGCGGTCAAAGAGTGCGTCAGGAGCGGATGAACGAACCCACGCAACGGGTGTTTGTTGGTTGGTGTGTCTGTTGGTCGGTGTGTTTGTTGGTTGGTGTGTTTGGTGCGATACGACAGCAGCAGCAGCAGCAGCAGCAGGTGGAGGATGAGGTGGTGGAAGTGGCCGTACGCGTTTCTACTGCAGCAGCCGGTGGGTGCCACGCCGGCGAGACACATGGGCAGCCACAGTCTCTGCCGGACAAACCCAACTGCATTGACGTGTGTGTAAACTGAAGAGCACCCAGTACGGACTCAGAACGACGAGGACACATCGTGTTGATCGGTTGTTAGCTGCAACCCGACAAGAAGCGCACGAACTCTGCGCTTTGACGCGCCACCGGATGTCGTGCAATGGCGTTCAACATTGCCGTGAACTGCTTCTCGCGCTCCTTCAAAACCTCTTCGCTGTCGCACTGACGCACACACGACCAACAATGTAGAGCCGACGGCATCGCTGGTAACGCCTTTTGCGGCACTGCCGTCTCGTTCTCGTGATTGACAACGACCTGCGCGAGCTTTGCGTGCAGCACTTTAAAGTCCGTATACCGTTTGCGGATGTAGCAGCGCTGCGACGGCGAGTCGTCGGCACGGGAGCCGCAGAAGTGGTAGAACATGACGCCGTCTGGATCCGCGACGGTTTTGACGGCTGAAAACGTCAGCAGGTCATCCGGTGGCAGCTGGTTCAACTTGGCGCTTGGGACCGACGGGGTCGTGTCGTTGCCGTCCGCGGCTTTCGACGACAATGAGGACGGACCGCTCCTTTGCTTCCACGTGTGGGGATGTATCGGCACGGGACCGACGTCCCGCCTTCCGGGACGCTTCGCGACCACGACATCGATGAACAAGGACTCGGCCGACAGCCCCTGATCGCTTTTCCGCGAACACGCACAGCCCATAACGGTGCACAAAGAGAGACGTTGGGTCGATGCGACGCGTAGCGCGAGAGTCGGAATGAGACGCTGCGAGCGCCGACTGATTTCCAGCGCTTGTGGCCATATGCAGTCGGCGGCACTTTACTCTCGCGATTCGAATGTTCCGCGCGAAGCTGTCACTGCAGACGACAACGCGGACGCGCGCTACATAGTGCAAGTCATGTCAGACTCGGAGAGACAGACTGGCGGCAAACTTTCCCGACATCGCACGCAGAGACAGCAGCAGCAGCAACAGCAACAGCAGCAGCTGGAAGAGACTTTGTACAGTACATGTATTCGCAGCAGATTCCGCTGGCTCTCTCCCCGCCTAACTCTCTAAGCGATAAACTGCGTAAACGAGTCGCTCTGCGACGCCACGGGATGCGCTGCCATTGCGTTGAGGATCTTGACAAACTGCGCTTCCCGCGCTCTTACCACGTTCTCGTGGCCACGACCAAGCACAAACGTGACTGCGTTCGCTGGAGGCATTGGCGGGAGACTCGGGTACATCTGGAACTTGTTCGCCCGAAGCACGAGCGCTGAGATCTCCGTGTACATGCGCTTGAATTCCGAGTAGCGCTTGCACACGTGGATGTCCTGGTGCGAGTCGGCTGGATTGTAGCCGTCAAAGTTGTAAAAGGCGACGCCGTACTCGTTGACGCTCACTTCGCCCGGCACGAACTGAAGGCCAATGTCCGGCCACTTGTACTCCACTCCAACCGACGGCTTATCCACTGACGACACGTGGGGCTCGACCACGACGTCGGTAGCTTTCGTCAACACCGCGTCTGCCTCGTCGTGCTGTCGGTTGAGCGTTGACGGCGTGCAGCCCATTGGAGACGCAATGGACGTGGGCGCGAGTGCAGAAACGGAAGAATGACGACCGCTGTCGGCCGAAAGCGTCCGCTGTGCCGTTGCCCGCAAGTCGCCTGGTCTCATGGTCTCACTACGACTGGCGCGCACAATGTGCTGCTGCTGCTGCTGGTGGTCCTCCGTTTGTTTATCTCTGCCACGCGACCTCATTTGAGGTACACGTTTTATGCGGGCGAAAGCATTACGAACGCTACGACGGACTCGCGTGTGAGACAGATGTGCACGTGCAGCACGAGGTCCACTGACGTGAAGTTGTTGCACCACGTGCTGTTGAGATTTACGGTCGAAAACGCCCACTGGGGCTGCAAATGATTCTGTTGTTGTGGTTATTGTGGTTGATGCAAAGGGGCGACGACCTTTACGACGACATGTGCGGCACCACATACGCCGCGTTCTTCTATTCCGTTACACATGCGCTGAGTCGACTCTTTTCCTTCCGTCAGTGCGTATCTCTTACACCGACTAACATGGCAAACGTAGCACACGCACACACTGTAAATGGCAACAAATGAGATGGTAATGTGTACGTGCAAGAGGCTCTTTCTGGCGTTTACGCTCTATCTGTCTACGCCAAAAAGGCCGTGAACGCTTCGCTCTGAGACGCTGCAGGATGCGCAGCGATGGCGTTGAGCAGGACCGAAAACTGCGTCTTGCGGTCCTCCAGCATCCTCGGGCTATTGCGCGCCTGTAAGAACGGCGCCTTGGGCAAAGCCGGGAGGTCTGTCATCTGCTTGGCCGAGAGCTGTGCGTGCAGAGCCTTAAACTCCGAGTAGCGCTTTGACACGTGCACGTCGTCCTTGCGAGCACCGCTGGCGTCCGAGCCCGTGTAGTTATAGAACGCGACGCCATTGTCGTCAAACGTCGTGTCCTCTGCTGTGAACGTGAGGACAGAGCTCTCAGCCGACTCGGCCTCGTGCACGAGTGCAGAAGTTGGGACTTCCTCCGACGTGTGACGCGCGTTCACCGGCGCGTCTGTCTCTACGGGAACGTCGACTGCAGACTTGGACGCCTCCGCTTCAGTGACAGACTCTGTCACTCCTGTCACCTCGTCCGGGTGTGCTCCAGCAGGGACTTGCTTCTCCTCGTTCGATAGAGAAGCAGTCTCCTCGGCTGCTGCTTTTGCTGCTGGAACCTCCTCGGCTAGAGCATCGTCGTTCAGCGAGAGAGCAGCCTCGTCGACTAAAGCTGCTGTAGTTGCTTCCGACGGCTTTTCGACCACTTCGACAACAGCTTCAGCAGCACGAGCGTCCTCTGTCTCAACACTCTCTGCACGAGCTATGACTGGTACCGCCTCCTCTGTCTCAACAGACTGTGCAGTAGCTTCAGTGGAAACAACGGCCTCTGTCTTCGCCACCTCTTCGACAGCGAAAGCAGCAGCAGCCGCAGCAACTTCCTCCGTCGTAGTAGACCCTTCGACACGTTCAGCTGCGACAACTTCCTTTGCCTCGACCGACTCCTCGACAGCATCAGCTGTGACAACTTCCTTTGCCTCGACCGACTCCTCGACAGCGTCAGCTGTGACAACTTCCTTTGCCTTTACCGACTCTTCCTCCACTGCAGCAGGGGCAGCCTCCTCGATCTCAACGCGCTCCTCGACAGCTGCAGCTGCGACCCCTTCCTCGGTCTTGACAGCCTCTTCCACAGCAGCAACAGCGACATCAGCGACTTCCTCTGCCTCAATCACTTCTTCAGGAGCTCTGACACAGACCAACTCCTTCGTCTCGATCCCTTTTTCCACAGCTTTCGCTTCCGCAGCAACTCCCTCAGCCTCAATCGCCTCTTCATCAGGTACAACAGTAGCAGCAGCAGCTTCTTCAGCCTGCAGGGGCTCTTCCTCAGCTACAGTAGCAGCAACAGCTTCCGGTTCCACTGTCTCTTTCGCAGCATCAACATCCGCTTCTTCTGCGACAGCTCCAAGTGGGACAGCGGCCGCAACGGGAAGCGCGTCATCGTCCGTCGACTTGACAGGAGCTTCGTCTTTGGAGCCATTTCCACGCTCAGGCACTGGCGTCTCCACTGTAGACGGGTGAACGCTCTCCCTGACGCCAATGGCTGTGGGCGAGTGCACTGCCTCGACGTCGTCCGTAGCAGCAGCAGCAGCGGATGTCGAGTGACTGCAGCCCATTCGAAGAGCTCACGGAATCCACACAAAGTCTCGGCCGCGCTCAAGGGGTTTTGACCGAGCGAATTGAATAATGATGAGCCGCACAAAATGGACAGTCGGTCGGTCGGTCGGTCGGTCAATCGGTCGGTCAATCGGTCAGTAAGTCGCTCAGTAAGTCGCTCGCTCACTCGGTCTCTTGCCAAAGGGTCCGAGCGCTCTCTTTGCACCTACACACCTGGTAGACAGCGAACACGCGAGCGGCGGCAGAGACTTCATACATAAACGCGAATCTCCATACAGAGACGTAGTACAGAGGTGGGCGGGCGGGGGGGCGAGTTTACCGCGTCGTCTGTCAAAGGCATGTGCTAAAAGAGGAGGTGAATGACCGCATTACATCCAAACACGGCCCAGCGACATGTGGTGGCCGCCCGCCCGCCCGAGCACGACCAGGTCAGATGAGCTTCTCGTCTGCTCGTCGACAGGACAATCGATAAGTCGATCGATCAGTTGATCTCTCGGCCCCACCTGCTGCTGTCCAAACTGTCGAGCGCTGTTACTGCTGTTGTTGCTGTTGTTGCTGCTACTGCTGTTCTGGCGGCGAAAGGGATCAACGCGACGTCTCATAGGGTACAACATGTCGCTCCGGTCCAAGGGGGAGCGTAGAATACAACAGACCTTCGGGTCTGCTCTAGGCCAAAAAGGCCGTGAACGAAGCGCTGGTGGACGCGTCTGGGTGCTGGGCGATCGCGTTGAGCATCTGGACGAACGCTGCCTCGCGATGGCGCAAGAGCGTCTTGTCATTGCGGCCTTGCAGGAACGACGCGCCCGGGAGACGCGGCAGTTCAATTGCGGTCATGACTTTGGTCATCTCGGCGTGCAGGAGCTTAAACTCCGAGTACCGTTTGGTCAGCAGCACCTCGTCGCCCTCGGCAGTGGACCCAGAGATGTTGTAATACGCGACGCCGACTGTAAAGCTGATGGTCTCGGCGACAAACGTCCAGACAGGTGGAGACGCACTTGCGCTCGTCACGACGGCCTTTTCGCGCTCAAGAAGCGACGTGTGGTCCTGTGGTACTGCCACCTCCTGCTCGACAGTGGTCTCAGACGCGACGAGTGGTTCTGTGTCAGTTCCAACGACCCCAACAGGTGTTGCGTCGTCTTGCACTGGCACTGTAGTAGCAACAGGCAGCAACGCGTTCGTGACATTGGGTTCTGGACCAGTCTCTGCATGTGCCTGTTGTTGTTTTGCTTTGGTCAGTGCCTCGTCTCCTTCGTGAGCTGGGGCTGCTACGGGGGATGTAATCGCGACCTCTGGTCCGTGTGCGACGACAGTCCGATCGTCATGCTTCTCGACGGGTGGGACGCTCTTGCTCATCTCATCGGCAACGATCTCACTATTGACAATGTCCATCGACGTCTTGCCGCTCGCATCGATCGCCGGGGGCTCTGTCCTCTTTCCTTCGATGACGTCGCTCGTTTTCGAGTGCTGGCAGCCCATGTTCAAGTGGAGTTGTGGTAGAAGAAGAGTGTCGGAGGACGACAGTGGAAAAGCTGGAATGAGTCTCAATTGGAAGAAGACGACCGCACATACCGTGGACTGTCCTCAGGTATAACTGCAGCCCACCGCGACAAGTCGGGACGGAGGCGGCACCGGGAGACCATCAGCGACAGTAGACGGACCGTTTTGATCCCCTGAGCCGTTACTTTCGCCTCGCGGTAACAGCGCTTTTCCTCTCTTTCTCTCTCTCTCTCTCTGTGCCTCTCTGTGGGTAAAAGACCTCTCGACACAGTGCTACCACCGACTCGCGTTTCTGCTGCTCGCTTAACAGTCGCCGCGGGTCGTTTTCGCAGGAACGTAACTGCAACAAGTAGCGCTGGAGTAGCTGTCTGTACCGTTTTATTTTGGCCTGCAAGAACGAGCGCCGAAGAAGCTCACGGGCCCGAGTTTCGAGCGTGGCGGCTGTCACGGAGACTCCTCACTGCGCGCGTGGAAGGAGCTGTCGTTGAAGATCAACTTGGCTTTTCTGAGAGGAATCGAGCGAAATCGAGAGAGAGAAAGAGGTGGAGCAAAGTTACGAAGGAGCGTGTCGACGACCGATACGAACGAGTTCTTTGCTGTCGAACAGTGTGGCTGAGCGGATAGAGACCACAAGATCGCTGCTCTCTGTGCTGACCTTCTGCTTTGACGTTTCTCTTTTGTCAGAAGCTGACCGCACAGCTCGACATGTACGTCCACGTCGAAGCTTCGTCCGTTACTGCGTTGCACCCTTCGTCGCACTACCACTCTATGACGCAATGACTGATCGTCTACACGTACTTGTCATACGCGCTGTGCCCCCTCGAGACCCGAGATGGCTACAGAAAAGCGAGAAACAAAACGCACCTAGTCGTGGCTGAAAAAGGCCATCGAACGCGCAGACGGCTACTCGTACTTACGTGCGGTCGGATTCCACACCATTGGAGCAGTACCATATCGGCGGTACAGACGCACCGGTACCTGTTCGGTATTCAGCTGAATCGGGTGGCTGGCCTTGTCCCTATCGCACGTACTTACGCAAGGCTCGGCCCAGCTACATTTGGGAAAAGCGAGCTCGTCAAGAACACTCACGATGGTCAAGGAGATCAAGACGCGCACGACGAAGCGCGCGCCGGACGTTGTGGCTCGTGACTACACCATTAACCTGCACAAGCGTCTTCACAAATGGTACGTTTTTCAGCCACAACGAAAGACTGGGTGATTCGCTGTTCCTTGTCGCTATTTGGAGTTGTGTCCATTATGCTTTCGATGATCGCTAGGACTCGATGCGTCGTAGCTCCTGTCGTTCTGGAGATTAGCTCGAGTGTAGTTATGTTTGACGTTCAGTTGGGACACTTGTTTATGTTTTGCTGACTTGCGTGTTGTATTGACTGTCGACAGTGTGTTTAAGAAAAAAGCGGCCCGTGCCGTGCGTGCCATCAAGAAGTTTGCAGTGAAGGCCATGAAGACGGAAGACGTGCGGATCGACTCGAAGCTCAACAAGTTTATCTGGTCCAAGGGTGTGCGCAACGTGCCCTACCGCGTGCGTGTGCGTCTGTCGCGCAAGCGCAACGACGACGAGGACGCCAAGGAGAAGCTCTACACGCTGGTGCAGCACGTGCAGGTGGCGAGTTTCAAGGGGCTGCAGAACGACACGGTGGACGAGTAATTGCCGCCGCAAGAGCAGGAGCGCAAGGTGCCAGGCCTTCCTCTGGCGTGCCAAGTGGCGACTTGAGGTGCTGCCGCGAGGAAGAGAGAGCCGTTTAGTGTGGACTTTGTTCTTGTTGGCCACGAGGAGGAAGGAGTTTGTACGGAGCTTCTGGAGTGTTAATGCAAGCCGATCCCATTTGCAGTTTCCCAGTCGTGCTGTCGATCTGTCGTCTATAGAGGAGGAGCGATTGTGATTGTTGTGGTCTCGTGGTATGATGATGTCAGTCTGTGTTGATGTCGTTCTCCGCTGTCGCGTGCTGTCGTTCGCCGCTACGCTGTCTCAGCTACTGAAATCTTCAGTTGGTACATCGCACACATCCTGTGCTGTGTATCATGTATTCGCCTAAAACCGTCTTCATTTTTCTCCCTTTTTCTCCTTCTCTTTTGCTTAACGTATGGATCGCGACATCACACACTGGTGCACAAGTGTTTGCAAGATGGTGGCCGTGAGACCGATCGATCAAGTGGTCAGGCAGCCGGTGAGTCACTTAGGCAGCCAGCGAGGCAGGCAGGCCGCCAGTCAGTCTGCAACATATGCAGCTTCGCGCCGCCTGCATTCATTCAACATACAACCGACTGACCGACCGACCGACCGACCGACCAACCAACCGAGTGACCGACCGATTGACCGATCGACTGACCGCCCGCCTGACCGCCCACCCCGCGTCCTCAATTCCGTGGCCGGGTCTAATCTCTTCCCCTGTCCCGAAAAAAAAGGTCCCTACTGCTGCTGGCACTGCACGCGCTGGCCGCCGCCACGCTCCTCGTCCGAGTCGTACGCTTCGCGCTGCTGCTGCTCGGCCTTGGCCGCTTCCGCGTCAAACTCCGACAGAAAACACTCTTCGGCTTCTGCCACCGGCACGACCGGCATGGGCGCGGGCAACGTGCTCTTGAGCACGCTCAGCTGCTTCTCCGACAAGCTGCCGCTCTCGGGGAACTGCACCTTGAACAGAATGACGAGCTGGCCCTTGACAAACGGGTTGCCGTGCGTCGGCATGCCCTCGCCGTGCACCGACTTGAACTGGTTGGGCTTAATGATCTCGCCCGGCCGCGTCTTGATATGCAGCACGCGGCCGTCCAAGTGCTCGACCAGCATCTCAAAGCCGCACAGCGCTTCAACGAGACTCACCTTCTTTTCCATAATCAGATTGCTGGCTTTCCGCTGGAACGTCGCGTGGTCCTTCTCTTGCACGACAAAGATAATGTCGCCCGGGACGGTCCCCGGCGCCTGGTCGGCCTCGCCGGCAAACGTAATACGCTGTCCGTTGCGCATGCCCTTCTCAATGTGCACCTCGAGCACCTTGCGCTCCTTCGTCACCTTCTTGCCCTTGCACGCCTTGCAGCGGTCGCTCTCGCGGATGCTCTTGCCCTGGCCGCGGCAGTCGGGGCACACGCTCTGCATCTGCTGCACCATCCCGGGCGCAATGTGCCGCAGCTGCACGCGCATGCCGCGCCCCTGGCACGAGTCGCACGTCTTCTCAGCGCCTTCTGCGCCGCCGCGGCCGTCGCAGCGGCTGCAGAGCACGTCGCGGTTCACCGCGAGCTTCACCGTCTTGCCATTGTACAGGTCTTCGAGCGAGACCTTGAGCGGGTGCGTGAGGTCTTCGCCCTTCTGCGGCCCGCGCGGTTTGCGCCCGCCCTGGCCGCGGAAAAACTGACTAAATAGATCGCTCGCGTCGCCGCCGGCCGCGCCGTTCTGCAGTCCTTCTTCGCCGTACTGGTCGTAGAGCTCGCGCTTCTCCTGGTCCGACAGCACTTCGTAGGCGACCGTGATGGTCTTGAACAGCTCGGGGTCGCCGCCCTTGTCCGGGTGGTTCTTGAGCGCGAGCTTGCGGTAGGCCTTCTTGATCTCGGCCGTCGTGGCGGTCTTGGGCACGCCCAGCGCGTCGTAGAACTTGCTGTTGTCGACGGGTTTCGACGGCGCGCCGCCGCCGCCGCTGCCGTCGAAGCCGCCGCCAAAGAAACTTTCAAACCCGCCGCCAAACATCTCGGGCCTTTCTCAGTCGCGCGAGTGGGGAAATGCGGAATGGCGAGAAGGGGCAAAGGAAACGACTGGCGTTTGCTCGAGTTGCTGGGACGGTCTCTAACACTGGACCGCGAGAGAGTGAGTGCGCACTGCTGGGCTGCGACTGCGACTACTACTGCTACTAAAAAGACGGCAACTTTCGGTTGCGCGGGCGGGTTGCGGGTTGCTGGTTGCGGTTGTTGTTTCCTTTTTTTCTTTCGTATGTGTGGACGCCGCGGGGTCGAGACTGGCTGGCTGAGGGGGCGATGGCGCTGGATGTGTGTGTGGCGCACACGAGGAAAACGAAAAGATCCGGGGCATACAAGAACGCAGAGAAAACGTCTTCTCGAAGGTTCTGTCAAGCGAGACGCGACCGACCGACCGGACCGACCGACCGGCAAACGGTGTCCATCGCGAGCCATCGACGACGTTCAGGAGAACGCGCGACGGTTCTAGAACCAACGAGCGCCCCCGTCCACTCTCGTTGTGGCACAGACATTCACCAGAATAAAATAAGTACGAGCGCTGTATGCGCTCAATAGCGAACATGTACCGCGAGTGAGTGCGACCAAGTACAACACCCGTAGTGACAAAAGGGGACCAACAGAGACCCCATGCGGTCCTACATGATGCAAATCTTCATCTAGACGTGGCCATCAACTACGTCACGACGTCACGAGCTTCCCAACGAAGCTATCCGTCATTGAAAAATCACGGCAGTCCGTTCCCCCATAGAGCAGTGCCGTGGTGGGTCAACCAGCTGCTTGTGCTTTGCCAAAAAAGTGCGGTGACCAGCGCGTCCGCGTCGTCGATTCGTTTTGCAGTACGAGCGCGCGCGCATCAACTCAAATATTTCGCCGTGAACGGCTCGTGTAGGATTTGAGCTCACTCGACTTTTGGTTGGTCGTTGCTGACTTTGCCGAGCAGCCGCTGGGTTGCCGATACATGCAGCACGAGACGAGCACGACCGCTTCGGTACGGTTTTAGCGACGAAGTAGCCGCTTTCTTGTGTGCAAATACCGGTCTTTTCATACAGATTACCGATCGAATTAACTTTGAGAGATCGTTGCAGATGTAATCAACACAGAGGATCCTAAAATAAAGCAACACGAAACCTGACCTATAATGATGAAATTAACTCGAGGCTGCTGGCGTCCTGGAAAGCCGCTACGAAGCTGCTGAACGGGTTGGCGTTCATCCATTCGTACGTCTCCAATTGCATGCAATGACGCTGCAAATGAGCAGAAGATGATAACGCCGTGGCGCGCCGCCAATCTGCCAGCCAGTCCTCATCCTGCCTTGTTAGGAAGGCTTGTATTGAGGAAACGAGTCCGTCAACCGGCTCTTGCTGCAGGCTGGAATGCTGCTGGCCTTATGGAACTTGTCCGCCAAGTACTTCTCGCTCACAGCTTTTGCTTTATCGCGCTGGGAGTCAACCACCTCAGACTCGATCGAGTGGAGACGGTGGAGCTCCTCGATGCAGTCCTGAATATCTACAGGATTGTACTTGGTCACATGGTGCAATGTAGGAGTCCACGCCTCTGTCTCGCTCGTAGTGACACGAGCGAGGTATACAGCAGACGCCACCAGCTTCGACGGCTTGTACCGTACCATGTGGTAGTACAACAGTGCAAAGTCACACAGGTACTACAACCAAACAACAAACACGCACAACACAAGTCAGATGACATCATTCGATCCACACGCAACATTCATTTTACATGCGCACCGACACAAATGACCGCTGTTTGGCCGTTGCACACCCTGCTTCCATGTAGCGATGCAGGAAACCATAGCACGTGGTCGATGCGATGCGGTATTCTAGTGCGCGGAGCACTTGTGCTTCCATATCAAGCATCTGTCCACATTCCAGCACTCAACACGTAGCACACACACACAAAAGCGACAACGGAGTGTCGTTCACAGCCTGCGTACCTCGTCTGCAGTGTACGTCTGGTCGGATATGTAAACGAAATCCTCGACGTTCGGACCGTAGACTTCGTCAAACTTTGCGGCGATCATCATGCACGCGCACCCAAGCAGCTGGAACTGCTTGCGATTGATCCGAATCTTCTTGAGACAGCGATCCACCAAGTTCACCTACGATAACGACATAACAAACGTCAGAGAAAGCATCGCCGAAGTAAAGAATGCTTAGGAAGGCTACGCACAGCCTTGTGAAACGTCTGCGAGTCCAGCTTGTACTCCTCGCCGACCTCGACAAGCCAATCAATCAGGATTGTCCGCATCTTCTCGTTTATGTCCGTTTGGACCGTACCAATGTAATCCGCTTCGGGCAAGTACTTCACTTCGTGTTTCCGGTAGTACCTGTCCAGCTCCCGCACTAACTTTGCCTGATGTGAGCTCGTCGTTGTAGACGGAGCGTCGATATCACGGACAGTCGCAGCGTACGTGTCCTTGTCGAAACACGAACTCTTGTGGTCGTACGTAAAAGTATACGGTCGAGGCGCATACTCGTCGCGTCGCTCAGCAATAGCGATTGCAGCAGTCGTGGCAGCAGTCGTGGCAGCAGTCGTCGACGTAGTTGTGTCTCCCCCACACTGTCGATCAACCTGAACCACCTGCGTCTGTTCGTCCCGTCCCCCCTCACTCGTCTCCACCTCCTCATCAGTCAAAGTCTTTCTGTCCTCATCGTTTCCAGCATCCACAACAGCTTCCGTCTTGTCATGAACCACCTACACCACACACGACCCAGAGCACCGCACTATCCAATCAGCACCATCCACTCATTGCAACTTCACCATACCAACACCAAAAGTAACACGAGCAATAACAACAATAACAACAAAAGCATCGCACACGCCCCACCTTCCTGTCCGTTTCTTGCTCCTCCTGAATCGCCACCGCCTCCTTCGCCACCGCTTCGTCCGTCCTCTCCTTCACCTTCACAACAGCAGCCGCTTGGAACGACAACATGCTCGTCTGGACCTTGGAATGCCCCGTCTGCGTCTCATTGCCCTCTACTTTCCGCTTCTTTGCGCGCAACGCGTCCGTCTTTTTGCTCCCATTGACGCGTTTGTTCGTCTTCTGGCCAGTAGTCGACGCCCCAGAGCTCTTGCGCGTCGAGAGACCCGTCGCAGTCGTCGACCGACGGCGCGTCGACGCGCGTGGCGCCTGTGGCTTGGGCTTTGCTGCCTCTTCTGCTGCGCTGGTCTCCTTCTTGACGAGGCTCGCGCGGCGCTGCGACGCGTCCTGCGGCTGCAACGCCGTCTTACTGTTGTTGCTGATGTCCTGCAGCGCCCCGCGCTTGCGCTTGCGCGAGGCGTCGGCTGCTCCGCTCGTCCGCGTGCGGTCCATCGGCTGCGTGTGCGGGTGTTGTCTTGCTACTGCTACTGCTCGCTGCGCGGGCTCCAGGGCGAGACAAAAGAGGACGGGCGCGCGGCGTGGTGGGCGACGGAGTGTTACTTCAGTGGCTCGAAAGTCGGAAATCTTGTTGCGTTGTGCCGCGAAGGTACCGATGGAACTCAGAGCCGCGAATCAGATGCGAAAAAGGGCTGGGAAAAGTAACGCGGGGATAAGTACGCACGAAAGTGCACTTCCAGCTGATAGACGACGATAGTGCGCAACGGAAAGGAGTCTGTGGTACACAACTGCGATGTGCGGCCAACACCATTGGAGAGAGAGGGACGTAGCACGTAGTAAAGTGGAACAGGAGGAGGAAAACACGCTCGAAAGGGTGATAGATGCACGCAAAAGGCAGTTACTGCGAATGAGTTTGAGTCCTATCAAGTAGACGTTAATTAATTCTAGCAGTGTTTATTGAATCGGGCAACTTGCACATTCTCGTAGGCGCCATAATTCTGCATTGTCTGCAACTTGTCGAGTTGCCGATGTTCACACAGCCAAAAAGCTGGCTGAAGCCAATATCGACTATTGCATAGTGTAGCGTATATATACAGCTTTTATTGCGAGTATATTATGCGATAGTGAATGAAGAGTGCGCGCCAATAAAGTGCAGATCTGGTAAATGACACGTAATGATCATTCGCGTCTTTCCTGAGTCGTTTTATTAGATATTGAATCTCTCTCTTGCCATTCATTTTTCAGCATTATTCAATCTGTGGAGCTGATTGCGGTTATTGTATGTGCGTCGGGTCACTGTCGTAGACAATCCTGGGCAATAATCCCTGCTCTTTACTGAAACTTGGCATTCTATTATCCTTTCTCGTTCTTCTATAACGAACGAAAGATTATATCGCCATCTCCGTACAGTTGTGCGAGCACTTGTGTTATTTCGCCGCTAAGCCACAAAAAAGTCGAAAGACTTACGTTGGGGCATACACAGGACAGCCGGTGACCGCTTTAATGTTTTATGGAATGATACTTTGTGTACGCCGTACCTACCGAAATAAACTCATAGCAGTATAATGCAGCTGCGAATACACTTTGTTGAGATATATTACAATCTACATTTGCGCATTACCAAAATGGTTTTTCGAGTGTAAAGTTAATTTACTTCCTCATTCGTCTTACTATCCATAGCCGGGCTACAAATCAAAACATCGTCAAATCAGCTCGTTATGAAATCTTGCACTACAAGTGTTTTACATGTCATTTCACGCGTAAGAATTTTAAGAATCCATTTACCAAGTTCAGAATCGAAAAGCAAAATGTATCAGGAATACCAATCCGGAAATCGGGATGACGTCCTTTCTCGGTATCTGCTTCTGAGCCGGTATTGTTGTATCGCTTAATTTGTTGATAGTGAGCACTATCCCCCATCTTATTGCCCTGTTGGACGGAGACATGTACAAAGATAAACTCTCTTACATGAACCGCTGATACTCAAACCTTATGATTTGGCGATCGCAACGACTCGTTCACGACGCAGTAGCTACTGATTTATGATACAAATTTCGTACGGTTTCGGTTCGATTTTTTACAGAGTACCTGTATACATAGTAAACTTGCTCCTCAAATATTGTATGGAATACATACATTTATATGGCTAAATATATACATGAAGATATTCCTTCGACTACTCCCAGAATTAATATATGTATTAATATTCCGATTCTATTATTCGGGGACACTTTCGTCCATCGATGAGCGGCTAAGAACCTGCTTGTTCTCGGCAAGTACCGCTGCCGATCAAGTATCGGTCACGTATCTTTCTCTGCAACGAGGATCCATGCTGTAATGACTTTTTCAGTACGCAGATATCTCAAGAATATTCTCGGTTCTTAACAATAACTTCAGAGGCTTTTCAGATCGATTATATAACCGCCAGGTAATCATGTATTAATATACGCATATAATGCCTAAATTTTGTCGTGTAAACTCTAGTTCTCAGATACATGAGAAACGATTTTCTCAGTGCAATTACTTGAGCTACTATTATTACGCACATAAGGCTTTTCGATCAGCGTCTCTTTAATGTGGTACTCTTGAAGAGCCAAGTCCTCTACGATCTACTCTTCAGTCGACCAAAACTCTATATTGCCGCTTCTGGAAATATTATAATCCTTTTGAGTGCATCCGCTAGGCATCCATGCCACGCACCAATCAACTTGTTCGAGCATCGGGCCTTCTTCGCTACCTGTGTTGTAACACAGTTGCCGACAGTTTGCTTCACAGTATGTGGGCAACTTACTGATATCCTGTATAGTCGTACCAACGATTGAACATCAATTAAGGCCATCGCAATCACTTGTATAACATTACATGTCTGTACAAGATATCAGAAGTTCTTCAAATGGCCAACTGATTGTGAAGTGTCAGACATCTTTGCGTATAAATGATCCCATCTGATCCATGATTTGTACCTCGTGATCCATGGTATTCCCAAAGACAATATCAATTTGCCATCTAGCATCAGAATAATAAAGTTATCACCATACTGTCCGTCTTCTAGCGCGTAGGAATGTAGCTCTGCATGTTTCGATGTTACGGATGCGCCCGTTGAAAGACACAACGACATTCTTATCGTAGGGGTCTCGCGCTCGCCAGTCTTAAGCCCACCACCCTCCAGTGACTGGCTTCAAGCAAAGTTTGTGTCGCCTTATAGTCGACCATGTTTCGAAGTGGCATGTCATGTATCACTTCAATGTTTCGTGATGACAAAGATTACATACTTACAAGGGGCAGTAACTACATCGAATATGTGTTATAAGCACCTTTCGTCAAGACGCCTGGATCAATTATCTTGACATCGCTGGATCTGCAACGCATTTCACCGCCTCTACCGATTCCAGCCGTGTTCGGACGATCTACTGCGCTGTTGCGACTTCGTATCAACAAAGGACCCGCTTCGTAGGCCATTCTTGGACAACTGGAGGTATTTTTGTACTGTTGTGAGTGTACAATTTGATAGCGATAAAAACATAAATGTATTGCCCTCTTTCCGACATCTAGCGCATTTCTTCATATTTTAGTTTCCTCGATCGCGTTTATATTTGCTGAATACGAAAGAGGCGTCTACCAAAATCTAGACCTTCAGCCTCATGTCGTATCGGGCGACAATGAGAACCCAACTTGAGTCTGATTTAGGATAATGTCTATCTTCAATTACTGATATCGCTTTTTCTAGCGCATTAAGCTCCAGAAGTGTAAAAAGGGTCATGACGGGACCACATTCAATACGCTGCATAAACAGCGTGATAAACATGTTTTAATATGTAACATTGGGCGTGATACATCTCGCAAGGTGTCAATATGATGACCGAAGGCGCCCACTCGGTACATTCTCTTCCCGGGTAATAGTAGCTCATAACTAGCCTCAAATACTATCCTTGACGACTTATAGGTCTGTCTGAGTCGAAACTTATATACCCCTTACAACCCGATGATATCTGGGTCGTGCAGCTTGAAGGCCAAGGCCCAAGGTTTATTATTTCAGTCAAGAACATTTTAGTTTGCGAACAGGATAATCATTTCCTCTTCGGTAATTACAAAGATATCTTATGAGGACGTCAAATTATTGAAATAATAATATTTATAAAAACATATGTTTCATCCGTCCTCTCTCATACTTGGAAATATCTGTCCTCGAGTTTTTATGCCGACACGAGCGCGTCGACCCGCTGAAAGTAGACTGTGCCTGCTCCTTCCTCAACATTTCGAACTTATGTGCACCCCGTTATCTCGATAGCTCTGGTTAGTAAAAAAAACTTGCTGGTGAAGCAAGGTCGTCTTGGCTCGCGACATTGAAATTTGGTGTTTAGTATATGGCGATTGCTGTATGTTGCTCGTCTTCTTACGTAGTGAGCTACACGGCGTTGACAATATTTCCGCCAACTAAGGAGCTCATACAATAGACTGGAGGCTAGTTCTATGTCTGTCAAGTGTTCATACACTATGCGCGTGGAGTGAAAGCCATTTCTTCTTTATTCGACGCTCAATGTAGAATGAATACGTCCACGTCGTCACAAACCTCGGAAATTTGCCAGGTGTAACTGGGCACCCTGCACTTGAACTGACACATTAAATGCTACTGATACTGGTATAACGTAGGCATCTGCCTCGAACATTACGTATACAAATGTGCGTGTGCAAAGGAACACTTGATCATATGAGCAAATACGTTGTAAAGTAGAAAAGTAGAAGTAATTTTATATCTAAATTTGGTTTTTGATGTAAATCCTTTTAATCTCACTTAATCTAAACTGTAAGCTACTCGCTTCACAATGATTGTGCGCGTCTAGCAGCGTTTGAAACGAAGATAATTGATTTATAGTTCTAGATCAACCAGTTTGTGGGGAAGTGCCAAGTTTCAAAGGTAACTTTGACTCAATATTTTCTTAATTAGTTAGCTATACTTAAAAATTATCAATCAAGATGATCTTGATATTTCAAATTTGGTGGCAATGACATGTTACGGCGTCACCCCATTACACCAGCTCTACAACTCTACATCTTATAAGCTGCAATTTAATGAAAAATGTTGTTGTATAAGAAAACTGAAAAAAGTAAGCGATTTCGTCACCTAGGTGCTGCCGCGTTTCTGCCATAGGAAGCTCAATCTAGAACAGAACGCATTATAAAGTGCAGTGGTCGGCTATGGCTCGCCAACCGATGCTTGCGAATCCACCTTGACAATGTATTCAGTTAGTTTTTACATTGAACTCAATCGACGATAGCGTCGTGTTTCGTTTATTTATATGTTCGTACCGGTCATCACAGCTGCAAGATGAGATGAAATGCCAAACATCAGCGGCAATGGTAATTCTTACAAATATTAGACAATGGTTGCTTGTTTGTCCCGATTGTAACGAATCAGTATACATGAGACCGTCTTGACGGTTGGAACATGGATGAAAAAGATTCGGTATTTCGCATACTATAGTGCGAACATATCG